ATTCCCTAACGCTATCCTCCTATAGAGATAGATGGCTATTTATTTCTATAACTTTTTATATTTAATAGAGGTTTATTAAAGTAGTAATATAGCTATAAACTAACCACTATAAGAGTTATATCTCCTTTTAGGGTATATTAATATCGGCTTTATAGCTCTTCCCTTTTAAGGGCTAGCCTATAACCTCTTTAATAAGAATAAAAAGTAGCTTATCCTTTATAACGGTATTACTATTATAGTACTGCTTTCGTTTATAAAAGGCCTAAAGCTAAATAATATATTAACCATAAGCCGTAATACTTTTAAAAGGGGGGGTTATTACCTTAAACTCCTTCTACTTTAGATTATATATTAAAGATATATTCTTAAGCCTAGTAGTATATATAAGGGCAAAGATATACTACGCGGTTAGTTAGTGCTATTTTATATAGTAGGTATAATAGCAGATATACTACCGCGATTAAGAATAGGTAAGAAGGACTTTCTATATATAATTAGGGCCCTAATAGCCCAAATTACCCTACGGTCGGCGCTAATTAGTAGCTTAATTAGCGGGTGGCCCTTAATACGCGTATCTCTACAGATTAGCGCTGGTGGCGCTGTAGAGATACTCGAATCTACTCTAGGTGGCTAGCTAAATATATAATTTTTTTTTTTTAGCTAACTAAGGATTAGCCGGGCAGTTAATACTAACGTGAATAGCTATTATTAATATATATTATGTGATTAATTATATAAATCTATATTACGCGATTATTATATAAAGGCTATCCAAATTAAAGCAGTGAGAGTTACTAACTCGCTACGCGAGGTAGCTGCGTTAATTCTAATATTAATATAACTAGTTATATAGGAAGGGGGTATATCTATTATAGGACACCCCCGTAATACCTTATATACGTCTACCTATTTCTACCGACTTAGTAACTAGAGATTAACTATAAGATAATAATCTAATAGTAATCTGCGGCAATTTAATAACAACTTGCTATATTCTGCTATATTCTACTAAGTTCTACTAAGTTTTACCAAATCCTACTAAGTTCCACCAGGACTACTACCTAAATCCTATTATACTCCGTATATATATTAACTAAGCAACTAAGTCTATAATACATACCCTTTCTTCTCACATTCCTACCTTTTTTCCTTATATAACGTTTTAACTTCTTATACAGTTTATATATATAGCTTAATAATATCTACCTTGCTATATATTATCGCCGCTTATACTTACTCCGTAATACTATATTACGTTAACTTTATATATTACCTCTAAAATATAAAACGACCCTAAAGCGCCTATAATGGCCGCTAGTATTATATCTATACTCTAAAAACAACTAGTAGAGATATAGAAGTCTTTTATAGACGCCCTTATATAAAACTAAGCTACTTTAAATTAATAATAAGCCGAATAAGAAGTATAATACTAGCAATTAATTAAGGACCTCCAAGAAGAAATCCGTATACTTAAGATGCCTACATTAGGGCCTTAAAACTAAATACTATTTTTAGAAATAAATACGTGGAATATAAGCCCCGAACCTATAATAGCTATCCACCCTAAACTAACTACTATGCTATAATAATCTAAACGGCTACCTAACCCTCTAGTATTTACTAGTAAACGGTAAAAGCTCTAATTATTCCTAAGCTAGCTTAAAAATAAGCTAACTAGTAATACTAACTATTACCTAACTAAAGCTAACCGACTTTATTACGCCCTAAGTTAACTAAAAGGAAAGGTAGCTAACCTTATTAAACCCCTCTACCTAAACTTAGTATAAAGCCTAATTATACTTCTTAAAGCTATATATGGTAATCTAAACCACTAAGCTACGGCTTAAAGAAATATAAACTATATAGCTTAAGGAATAAAAGGTTTCCTAGTATACTTTTCTAAATTTAACTATTATATAAGGGAGACCGGCTGGAACGACTCTATACTAGTTAATAGCCTTATTAAATCCCTAAGCCCTAAACTAAAACCCTCCCTAATAGGCGTAGACTTACTAAAAGCCCTTAATGCCTATATAAACATTATTAATAAACGGTATAATAATATACTACGCCTAATACTAAAGCCTACCCCTTAATATAATACGGCAACCCTATAAACGTCTACTAAGTTATTATCTTAGCCTAAGCACCCTAACCCTATAGATATTAACACTAAAACCCTAGAGTATGCCCTACTAGGGTTCCTTAAATAAGAAAGACGCATTATGCTAGGCCTTTACTTTAGGTACGGAAGTAAGGACTATATCTTAAAATACTATCTTATCCCCTTACCTACGTCCTAAAACAACTTATAAACGGCTAAAACTAGCAGCCGTTTACCGCATTAATTTACTAGTTACTATCTCCGATTTTTATCTAGTACCAGCCCTATATTTAGTAAGTATTACTTATAAGGATAAAGCTATAACCGACGCCCTATAGGAACCCCTTCCCGCTTACTACTAAAAGGTATATTTTAGAGTTAAGTTACTTTTTAGGACAGCTATGCTATAGGATCTTATTAAATACTTTAGATGTTGTAAACCCTAACTCTTAGGATTATAGTATAACCGTTAACTACCACCTTTAGTAAAAAGGCTAATAGGCTAACGCTTAAGTCCTAATTAATATAGGAGCTAGTAGTATAGAATTTATTAATAAGATCTTTATATAAGATAATAGTTTTACTCTAATACCCCTTAACCAATATATTAATATATTTAGATTTAATAATAAACGGACTATCTTAGGCCGTATTACTTACGTAATAGCCCTAAGACTCTAATACCTAGACTATAAAGAATTAATTAAGCTCTTTGTAACAACCTTAGATTACCTAGTAATCCTTAGACAACCCTAAATAAAGCTATATAAGGTAACTATTAACTAGAATAACCTTAAGCTTCTATTTACCGCCTCCCGTTATAAGTAGAAGTGCTTTATAACTTACTATTTAAACCCTAAACTAAATTTTAGAAAATCTACTAGGATTTACTAGCCCAAAATTTCTATAAATATCTACCCTACGCCTAAGGAATCTACTAGATTCCACTAACCTAGGAATTCTACTAAATTCTACTAATATAAGATTTCTACTAATATCTATTAAGGACCTAAAAATTCTACTAAACCCTATAAATTAATCCTAAGCACTATACTACTTAAAGCTAGGCAGAAGCTTAAGCTTACTACGCGAAGATATTAGAAGGACTAGTATTTTACTATAAAAAGAATACTTAAAGAACCTAAACCTAAATCTAATACTAACTCTATACCTAATACTAAACCTAAAATTAAGTAAGGAACTATATAAGAAACTACAAACAACTAGAGCCCGCTTAATACCCTAGATATCTATATAATTGGAGCTACCCCGCTAGTACGACTTGCTAAGAGACCCAAACATACAATCTTCGCCGTCACTATAGCTAATATTAAAAAGGCATTAGCACTAAAAAAGCACACTAACCCTACCACAAAGGTACTAGTAGAGTATTATTACCATCTAGATATATTCTTATAAAAAGAAGCTAATAAGCTACCGGAACACTAACTATACAACTATAAGATTATACTTAAAGAAAGTAGCCCGGATTTAGACCCTTATATAAATTGTCCTAAAATAAACTCTAAGTACTATAAAAGTATTTAGACTAGAACCTAAGTAAAGAATTTATTAGAGTAAGCTTATCGCCTATAGCCATACCAGTAATCTTTATTAAGAAACCTAGCGGTAGTCTATACTTCTATATAGACTACTAAACTTTTAATACTGTTACTATTAAGAACTAATATCCAATCCTATTAATATAGAAGACACTAAACTAATTAAGTAAGGCTCACTACTATATAAAGCTTAATATTATCTTTATATTTAACCGCCTCTATATAGCAAAAGGAGATAAATAGCTTACTGCATTTTATACTCAGTATAGATTATTTAAATACTTAGTAACGCTATTTAGCCTTATAAATACTCTAAGCTTGTTTTAATATTATATAAATAACACCCTATATCCCTACTTAGATATCTTCTATATTGCTTATATTAACAACATCTTAATATATAGTAATAACCTAACCAAATACCGGAAATACGTTGATCTTATTCTATAAGCCCTATAAGGAGCTAGTCTATAATTAAATGTAGATAAATATAAATTTTATAAAATAGAAGTCTTATACCTTAGGCTTCTTATTTCTATAAATAGTATATAAATAGACCTAAAAAAAGTTGAAGTAATTATAAACTAGTAAGAACCTAAGAACGTTAAGGATGTAGTAGGGCTTTGCAGGCTAATATTATTATATATAGTATAAGGCTTAAAATTAAACTAGTTTTTATATTTATTAGCTAGCTATAAATACTAAAGCATTAATATACTTTATTTTTAAATTTTAAATTATATTATTATTTTAATTATTTTAATAATACTAATTGTCTTAATTACCTTAATAGTTTTAAAAGTCTTAATAATTTAGATAGTTTAAGTAGCTTTTTAATAAGCTTTTGATAAAAACCTAAGTATAAAAATCTTTTAGAGATTTTAGCAGCTTTGATAAGAATTGTTAAAAGGTATAAACAATTTACTAATAAAGGGGTGAGCTATACGGCCCAGGCAGGAATCCCAATATTAATGCCTTTAAAATTATTTGTTTTTACTACTACTAAATCCTTTATTATAAATGGTTAAAACCGGCTTTATATAAGGGATCTTTTATTTTTTATTTATATATATGCCCGGGAGCTTTTAAAGGTACCTTTAGTTAAGCCTTAGCACCTCCTTATAAGCCTTTTAAGCTTACTACTTTTTCTCTATATAAAGATATTGTCTATTTTACTCTTTATTATATTATCCTCTTCTATTGACTCTCCTATAGCTTATACTCGGCTTACTTACTCTCTCCCGTACACTCTAGCAATATACTTTATACTTTATTTTATAGAGGTGCTCCAAAATCTATTATATTATTTTAATATATATTTTTTTATAAATGGTGGGATGGCCGAGTGGTTATGGCGCCAAGTTCAGGTAGAAATATCTTGGTTCCGCGAGGAGCGTGGGTTCGAGTCCCACTCCCATCATCTTTTTGCACTATTGTATATATTAAATTTTTAGTTATCTATATAACAATTAATTAGATCACACCTAAGGCGAGGGTTAGCCTATCTTTTATTACTTTAATTTATATTATATATATAAATTATAAAGCTTATACTTTGTATATAATATTATATAATTTACGGAACGTCTTTAGGCATAACTATTTACCTTAAAAACTTAGACCAAGAAATCGATTGCGGATATAGAAACATCCAAGCCGTCCGCTAAGCTAATTTAGGACGTCAATCGTCTTTTTAGTCTGAGGCCCTTTGGCGAGATTTGTAGAAAACCTAAACATTATTTACATAAAAAGACCTTATTAACTTTAACGAAATTAATCTACTCTTTTATAATACCTGTCGATATAAAAATTATATAAAATTATAGAGAAAAGCCTACTTTATAAGTTATAAGATCTTTAGCTCCTTATACACGCGTAATGTTAAAAGAAGTTTGTCGCTGGAGAGGCTCCAATTCCATTTTTGCACTACTAAGCCGCGTAGTATAGTAAACACTAACACTAAACGTTTATGCCTACGCAGCTAGCCCTCCTCGCACCTAGCAGGTATTCCATCTGCTATATACCTATTTAATTTATTTACTTTGCAGCCCTTTATAGGTTATAGTATAGGCCTTAATAAAGTTGTAAGCTTTGCGTCTGCGTAGAGCTGTAAAGCTTTACGAGAGCTTTGCGGAACGAAGTTTATAGGGAGACCTACACGGAGCTTTGTACAGAGCTCTACTAAAGCTTTGCAAAAGCTTTGCACGAAACTTTGCAAAAGCTCTGCTCGAAGCTCTGCTCAAAACTCTACTCGAAATTCTACTTAAAGCTCTGCTCGAAGCTTTGCTCGAAGCTTTGCTCGAGGCTCTACTTAAAGCTTAATACGGAGCTCCAAAGCTCTACTAACATGCAGCACTGATATACTAGGAAGACTCTATAATCGTCTGCATGAACGGCTTTATAAACGTCTATATCAGTGATGCAAATGGACCGGTTCTGTTTTGGATTGGTTTGGTTTTCCAATATTTAAATCTTAAACCAGTTCGGAGCTTTAATTGGTCTAATCTGGATTAGTTTTAAGCTTTAGCGCGAACCGGTTTAACCAGTAAAACTAGATCTAGAGGTAGTATAGAGCCTTAGTGGTGAGTGGGTAAACGCTACCTAAGGAGTTAAGCCTATTAAATCCGCTATATACTTACTAGCTGTATATTAAGGATTGTTCTATAGTGTAGCGATACCCTAATTTAATCCGCTAAAGCCTTATAGATAACCCTTATCACGTCGCTCTTATCGCGTTACTCTTATCGTGTTACCCTTATCGCGTCACCCTTATTATTACCCTTATTGCTACCCTTATTGTTTATTACACGGGGATATAGGTATATGGTAGTGTAAGGACTCTATAAGGTGGAGTAGTTACAAAGGATAAGAATATATATAATAGGCGAAGCAATTACATGATCTTAGGAAGCTGCTATAGATATCTACATACCCCCACCCCCCCTTACTAACATTGTTTAATACCGCTAATCCTATAAAGAGCTCCATTACTATAACCGACCGGATAACGCGTAGAGGTAGTAGTAGTTATATTAGTAGTAGCTATACTATAGGCAAGGCTCCTACTGTTCCTTAAAAGCGCGTTAATAAGGCCTTTAGTACTAAAAAGCAGAAGAGCTAAAAGACAAAAACAAATATAGTTAAACTAGAACCTCTTATTTATTACAAATCTAAATCCAAATCTAAGCCAAAACCTCCGCTATTACGCCTAGCAACTAAGCCAAAACAAATTTAACTCTATAGCTAGTAGTACCGAAAAACTAATAAAATCGCTAGATAGAAGCGTAGTAAAAAGAAGTCCTCGTATATATAGGGTAAGGGAAAAGGCTTTGCAATTATTTATAAGACCGTAGGAGTTAAATACTACTATTACTATTAGTATTTGGATAAGAAGAAGGATATAATATATAAGCCACCTAGTAAGAGAATCCGTTCTCTATACTACCTATTTACTAATTAGTAAATAGCGCTTAATGGCAACTTTACTATTCTTAGCCATTAAAAACGGGCTTATTAACCTAATAAGAAAGGTAATTTAATTAAGCCTAAAGGAATAATTAAGCAGTATATTAAGCAGTAAGATTATATCTAAAATATATAGTTTAAAGCTTTTAAACTTATACTAATTTGCTAGCTAGTATACTACCATATTACTTACTACTAAATTAAATATACCTACTTCCTAGAAATGGTTTAGTATATACATAAGGGCCTAGCGAAGTTAATCCCTACGATTTATAACTAGATAGTAAGTAAGTTTAAAAAGTAGAATAGATAGCTATAAGATGACTTACAAGACGCTTAATTAAATATCTACCTATTATTTAACCTTTAGACGTTACCAAACTATTACGCGATTATTATAATAGTTACTTACTATATTAATAAAAACGACCTCTAATAGATAAAGCTTCTTACTATATAACGCCTTAAGGGCGAATATAACGGCGTAAACTAAGCCTAGATTGTTCTAGATATAATCGGCGAGTATAAGATTAGTAGAAAGATAGGATATTTTATGCCTAATAACGCGTTAAGCAACAATAGGGCCATAAATTTAATACTTAAAACGCTCTATCTAAAGATGTTAAAAAAGTAGCAGAAACCTTGTTAACCGCGGTGTCTTGGCTATATAGTTAACCTATATGCGTAGGCGTTTCTTCTAGGTAAGAAGGCGGACACTATACTAGAGAAGCTTAAGCTAGCTTATAGTAGGCACAACTTTAAGTTAATTATAAAGATCTAGAGGAAGTAGGGCGCTTTTAGATATCTATACAACATTATACAGTATATCTAGATATCGCTATAGCGTTAGAAAGAGTTTTAGATAATTATAATAGGGGGGGAGTAGTTAGAATTTAATATATTTAAGGCAAGTATATAGGCTCTAGATAAGATTTAGTAATATTCACCACCTAATATATTAAATTGCATGGGTTTAATTAGCTATAGCGTCGGATTTTATAATATCCGCCCTATAGTCGCAATATTCTCGCTCTATAGTCGCAATATTTAACCTTTTACTAACTTCTTTATATTATGGAAGTAGGTATAAGCTATAATATAATGTACTAAACAGGGTAGTAATTAAAGAAGGTTACGTACGCGTAACTATACGTGGTTAATATAAAGACATTTAGATATAAAAATAAAATAGGTTAAGTTAATATAGTTAAAGAAATAGGGGTAGTTATAGGATGTATATGGGTGTTACAGGACGAACGTACGTGGGTAACTCCTATAATAGTACCTCCCTCTTACTTCCGAGCTCCTATAAGGCGTTATATTATATTATATATTAAAAAAACCTAATTACGGGAAAAAAAATTTATTAGCCCTTTTCCGCCCTTTTATGTCCTCCGCTATATAGGCTTCTCCAGTTTAGTTCTTCTATATTTAATTATTAGGCTACTAACTTATTAGGCTTAAAGTATAGCCTAGCTTTTATTACTAGCTATACTTCTATCCTTACTACTTAAAGACGCATTACTAAAGCTTATATAGTCCCTTTCTTACTTTTAGCAGCTCTATAGTCTTCCTTTATATATCTATATATAGTTCCTCCTTACTAGGCCTCGTCCCACGGCTAATAGGGCCCCCCCTTCCTTCCTTTCCCCCCCTTTATAGGGGGTGTGTTATATAGCGTATATAGGGGTAAGTAAGTAGGAAAAACGGATATTAGATTACAGTGCGGTACGGTATAGTATAGTGTTCATAGTTATGGTAAGGTATCTTCTTAACAGGTTTTTGTTAATGCGGTATAGTATTTATAATTATAGGCAGGTACTTATTAGTAGCACTATAGTGCTAGCGTAGGTTCCGTAAGCATATCGGCACAAGATCTTATTAGATTTGGATAGCAGTATAGTACTAATAACGTATTTAAGTTCTATGGGCGAATCGGCACAGAGCTTATTAGTTTATATAGTAGTAATATAGTGCTAGTAACGGGGTCGTACGGCTTAGGACAGTCTGGGTATTGGATATAAATAGCTTTAGCAATAGTAGTACAATACTAGCGATAGGTTTAGGCGGCTTAAGATAATTTAGGTATTAGATACAGAGAGCTTTAGCGGTAGGTTTAAATAGTAGTAGTATAGTGCTAGCGACGGGTCGTCTTATAGGCGTATTAGCATGATGTCTTATTAGTATAGGTAGCAGTACAATACAAGTAATAGGGTTATAGGCGTATTGGTACAATGGGTTATCGTGGTCGTTTTGCAGGCGTATTGGCGCGAGGTCTTATTAATACGTAGGGCAGTACGGTACAAGCTCTAGTAGAATAGTAGTAAGATACTAGCTTCCGTGTTCGCATTTATATAATAATAGGATGCTAGCTATTAGGTTAAACCGAAGGGTAGTAACATGCCTGTTTGTAATTGGTAGTAGTAGGATATAAGCTATTAAGGTCCGTATGCAAATTGGCGCGGAATCTTATTATACTAGTTTAAAACCCCAGCGTCCTAGTCTACCTATAGCTAGCAGCTCCTATTTTCACACTTTTATTAGGCGTAGAAAGGTATACTCCGCGACTAGCAGCCTTAGACCCGCTAGGTATAAAAAGGGATCTAAATATAGTGTTATAGAAGTAGGCACGAGCTAGAATACAATACACTAAATGGGGTAGTAATTAAAGAAGCCTACGTACGCGTAACTATGCGTAGTTAATATAAAGACATTTAGATATAGAAATAGAATAGGTTAGGTTAACGTGGTTAAAGAAATAGGGGTAGTTATAGGACGTGCGTAGGTGTTACGGGACGGACCTGCGCAGGTAACTCCCATAACACTCTACTAGCTTATTTAAAGTAATGCGACGTAATAGAATTTATATTTTAGCTCTATTATACAAGCTATTAATTATAGGCCCAATATATAACGATTCTGTAATAGCCATATACTAAAATGCGGCAAGGGTAT